TTTTGCATCTAAATTGAATTAATTCATTGGGAAGTGTAGTGCTAACTTTGTTAATTGTTGAGTTGATTTTGAGTTAAATTGGAGTGGAAAGATCTGGGTTTTTAGGTTTTCTTCTTTATTCAGGGGGGTGGGGCAGGTAACTCCGCCGTGTCAACACACGTTGCTGGTCCAAAACCCGGATAAAGGAGGAGGGGTCGACTCTAGCTAGCTATCTTTGTGTCTCTTATTTGTTGCTCAAAGGAGTACAAAGTTAATTAGACACTTTTTAAAACTTATTTTAATATGGATTCATATAATGGTATTTTGGATCCTGATTGATACATAAATGGGAAAAAAACAACTATTACACGGTTGTTAAGTAGAATCATGTTAAAAGATAGGAACTTTTTTACACGGTTGGTTGACAAAAATGTGTATAAAAATGACAAATTTTTACTCGGTTTTGATTGATAACCGTCTAAAAAGATGCGACACTTTTACATGGTTTTGTAAAAAAAAAAACCATGTAAAAATCATATCTTTCTACACAGTTCTGCCTAACAACCGTGTAAAATTAAACTTTTTTACACGGTTTTCTTACCGTTTCACATGGTTTTGGAACGTGTAAAAAAGGGACATTTTTACACGGTTCCAAAACCGTGTAAAAAAGGTCGGCCACTTTCTAATAACATGATCAAAGAGATGGTGCATAGTTCCCGTGATCCACCACCTATGGTTTTTCCTTTTATAGGTTTTCCATGTCAAAATATCTGTGTTATCTCTTCCCTTGCATTATTTTCATCGTTTGGGATTGAGTATTGATTACATAGGCTAGGAGATGATATTATTGCCTATTACAATCAACATCCACTTTGATATCGATATAAAACTTTGTCCTAAGGGAAAATTGTGAATTAATTGTTGTTTACGGGTGTTGTTATGCGTACATTTTGTGGCCCACCAATACACCAAGGGGCGTTTGGTTTGATGAAATGGTTTTGAAAGATTTGAATTTTATTGAAATATTTGGAATTGGACCGATTTAGATTTAGAAAGGTTTGGATTATTTAGTGCTTTTAGTTAGATTTTGAATGGAATTAAATTTCATAGTTTATAAATAATTTAAAAAATATATAAATAATTAAACTATCTTTTCATTATAATAATTTAATAAGATAAATATTT